TGAGCTGCGGGGGCCTCCTCTGCCCGGGACCAGAGCAAGGCCCAGGCCCACGCTGGTGCCCACCCACCGATACCTGGAGCGGCCCTGGCACCCACCGCCAGCAGTGCCAGGACAGGCCCGGGTTCCCAGGGCCAGATCTGGCCATGGAGCCGCTGTGGGCAGTGCCCAGGCAGCGCACCCCGGCCCTCTCTCCCGGGGGCTTCCGTGAACCATCCCATGACATTTTTAGTGTAAGCAGTGGCAATGCGGCGCAGTGACCATTCCCTGCAGCAGGGCCGAGGGCAGTGTCCGACCCTGCCAGGCAGGGCAGCGTGCCGAGGAGATGGCGCACAGGCAGAACCCAGGCATGGTGCGTGAGCCGCTCAGCCCGCCTGGACTTTGGACTTGGCTGCGGCCTTGTTCCTCTTCCCAGCCTACAGCCGGTTTGCCTTGCCTGGTTAAGGCAGGAACAGCGTGAGCAGGCCTGGGGGGCCCTGGAGCCAGCCACAGCCAATGCCTGCTGCGCACGCAGGAGGCAGAGCCCTGCTTCAGCTTTGTCTGAGGGTCACACGCGCGTTCGCTCCTGTTCTAATGTCCAAACAAGTTCTGCACAAGCCTCAGTCAGAAACTTTGCAAGCAGGTTGCTATACACCTCTTCTTGTATCTGTGAAATATTTAACAGTTAAGATTTCCTCATACTTCCCATAAATCCCCACTGAATTATTTTGCAAAGTTTGAAATTATTCTCCGTACAGAGTTCACCTTGACACCCAACTCACAGTGCTCCCTGTAAATGAGGTTCTGTATTTGTTATCTGAGCAGCAACTGATCTTCAGCGACCGGTCCTACAGCCAACTGTCCACACAGAAAGACAGAAGCCCCAGTAGGAAGCCAGTAGCCCTACAGCCAGGACACACGCAAGTGGTGGCGTTTGTGTTGGTATTCGGAGCCTGCAGGCATGCCGGCACACCTGATACCACACCAAGTGGTTCTCTAAATCAAAAGGTGCCCAAAGGGACAGGTTCACTTCAGTCAGTCATGCTTTCATTGGGTTACATCACCAACAACCTTTTTGTCAGCTCAAACACACTGGCTCGCAGCACCAGGACAGAAGTTCAGGCTCTGGCAGTTCCCCACCTACTCCTCCAAGACGCCAAGGTTGTATCGCCAGCAGACGGCTGTTCCTGGCTGCTCCTGCAGCCTCTGCCAACAGGCAAACAGGGGACTTCTCAACAGCCCCATGGTATACAGCATGACCTCAGGGCAACAAAATCCTTCTGGTGTCCCGCGTTGGGTGTCAGCCCACAGCCTCCCTAGCAAACCTGATTGTGGTTTGTCAATTATAGTCAACATCTTTATGCACTAACCCACAGCAACCCCTACACATAAAATGTCCTTCCTGAATTAATGAGCAAGGCCAGAAGAAAGACATCATTTAGTTTAACTCCCACTAATTTCAGCTCAAGGTACCCTTCCCTGTGCCAGCTGAAAGGGACCAGCACCTGGCAACTGCTAAGCCAAGGAGTTGAGTGGGTGGCGGGACCTGACAGTATTTATTAAATGGATATGGATCAGCTCCACCTGGTGTGAAGGTGCTCCAACGCTTGTCAGAATATTCCCAGCTGTTTATAACTGCATAAAGGAGTGCTTAAAGACCAAGTCATGCTGGTGGCATGGTTTGCCCTGATCCTCTGACTTAGGAGATGAACACCTCATCACACTACCTTAGATGACAGCTTAACCTGTAAGTAGTCAGTGGTTTGACTGCTCATATACACCCTGGTTCTTTCCTTATTGCTGCCACTGGTGGATTTGGGACACCAGATGGCACAAGACAGGCACAAATGGAGGGACTAGGACATAGGGAAGAAGAAGGAACAGAAAAAAGAACAGAAGAGTACAACTAATGGAGCACGTGAAACCCTAACAGGATGTTATTCATGTTATACATCCTGTGAGTGTTGAATTTACTGTAGCAGTTCAAGTAGGGAAGTTCTGGGCTGTAAATTTAAACGTCTCACAGTCACCGAAAAGCTGTGAAACGTGGGGGGGAAAAAACACTTTTAAAAAAAATGAGAATATGATATTTCTTCAGAACTATATTTAAAAAAGCTTGGGCTTACTGGCGTGGCTAGGAAATAGAATCATAGAATCACAGAACTGTTTAGGTTGGAAAAGCCCTTTAAGCTCACCCAGCCCAACCAATCCCCTAACCCTGCCATCCCACCACTAAACCCTGGCCCTAAGCACCTCCTCTGCCTGGCTTTTAAATCCCCCCAGGGATGGGGACTCAACCCCTGCCCTGAGCAGCCCCTTCCAGTGCCTGACAGCCCTTGTGGGGAAGGAATTTTCCCCAGTGTCCAACCTAAACCTGCCCTGGCACAACTTGAGGCCGTTTCCCTCATCCCATCGCCTGTTCCCTGGGAGCAGAGCCCAACCACCCCTGGCTCCCCCCTCCTGTCAGGCAGTTGTAGGGAGCAATGAGGGCTCCCCTCAGCCTCCTCTTCTCCAGGCTGAATACTAATACTAAATGTTGTAGATTTCAAAGCCAGGAGAAAACATCAGTGTAAGCTTCTGTTTAATACAGGTGATGCTTCACACAGGGGCCCCATACAAAGCCAGTTAATTGCTTGACTGGGGCAATTTATATATTATATACCTTACAAGAAGGACTTTGTGCAATCTGATAATGCTTTTTTATAAAAAGAATACCCATGATTTGTTCAACAGGATTCTCACTTGACAGTGTGCTGGGGGCATCTGTGCTGAGTGTGAATTAGAAATCTATGGAAAATGAGGTGGTTGCTCATAGGATTTGATTTGTTGCAGCAGGTAGAAGCTGGGTATCAAGGAGTGGCAGAATGGTCTGGCAATTAATGCAGCGTTGTGGGAGCATGGAGAAGCGGGTTCTGTCCCTACCACAGCACATCATCCCCTGGTGGTGCTGGCTCAGGCCCTTA